TGTTACATGGATTGAATTTTTGTGAACTGTGGGAAACAGAAAGATTTCTCCCAAGTCGTCTCCCCTAAATATATATTAGACTTAGGGCACTGCTAGCAGCTAATGATAAATGATTGTCAAGTTACCTCCCTGAAGGCAGTCAGTTGCCAGACCACAGGTAGGGCCCGCACCTGCTGTTAAGGACAATGGGCTATGTCTCCCTAAAGGCTTGAGGCCATCAGCTTGGCTTCTGTTGGTGGGGTTTACACCCTATTGATAATGGTTTCTATAGTGATCCAGAGAACAGGTCAAACCTGCTCAGTGACATCCAAAGTTAGGCCGCCATCCTGAATCTAGGATGGGCCCACCTTGTCACATGTATACCTAAAATCCCTCCTCTCCCTATTGCGTGTATATCCCTAGATTGTCCCCCCTCATTGCTGTATTACCTATAGTACAACCCCTTCCTGTGATGTATGGCTTTACCTGTAATTAATGGGCTTGCACTCTCCCCAAAGATATATAGGCCTGAGTTAGCAATAAAAAGCTCTCTCAGGCTTCCCCACTCTTGGCCTCTGGTCAGCTTCCCCTTCCTCTCCTCTCCCATCCTCTCTCCCCTGTTCCCTTTCCCCTGGTCCTCCTTCCCACCCCTCTCTCTTTACGTGGACCTCCAAGTGAGGCTGAGGTGAGCATTGCTACCATGCAATGTGTCTGACTCCATTAATTCAATCTCTTTTATCTCTTAAGCTTGCTATGACTTTAATATAATATTTATATATCTCAACCGTACAATTGCGCCTATCAAACCTGTGATTAGTGGTGGGGGGGCTGGCCCCTCCCACCACAGTGAGCTAATTCCAGAAGCTCTGTTTAAGTACTGACAATCTGCTCTGCTTTTTCAGTTTGAGATCGATATTTAAGAATCCAGCCGGGTATGTTCACCTCTTTTTATCCCTGGCACTTTAAATCGATCCTGTCTCAATTTGACCTATATTTTCTTAAAAACTGCCCACCCTTTTCAATTACCTTCTTGAATTTCTATTCAGTTATTGGCATCATCTCTCAAATGAGGATCTCTGGTTATCAAAGAAAGAGGTCTTTCTCTCACTTGCTGCCCCAACTATTAAGGCTTCACTCATTGACCTTCAGCTGCTGTATGTCTCTTCTTTCAAGTCCTGTCCTAATTTGACCCCATAAATTTGTTAGTTAATTCATTACAAAATTATCCATCTTGTTGTTTGATGACATTGAGTCAGTTCTGACCCAGAGTGACCCTATGCACAACAGCAGGACATTGCGTGGTCCCACACTATCCTCACAGGTGTTCCTGTTTGTGTCACTGTTGCAGCCACTACGTCAGTCCATATCATTGAAGAACTTCTTTGTTATTTCATTGCCCCTCATCTTCCCAATCATGATGCCCTTCCCCAGGGACTAGTCTCTCCTGATAGCATGTCCAAAGTATGTAAGACGGTATCTCTCCATCCTTGCCTTTAGGGAACCCACTGGTCATACTTCTTCCAAGGCAGATTTGTTTGTTCTTTTGACAATCTGTGGTACTTTCAATATTCTTCTCCAACACTGTGCTTCAAACATATTGATTCTTTTTGGTCTACTTTATTCCATGACCAACTGTCACATGCATAAAAAGCGCTTGAAAATACCATGACTTGGGTCAGGTGCACCTTACTCCTCAAATTGACATCCTTGCTTCTCAACACTGTAACGAGAATTACCCAATGCATCCCTGCGTTTGATGTCCTGACTGCTGCTTTCATGAACATCGATTGTGGATCCAAGCAAGATGAAACCCTTGACAATTTCAACCTTTTCTCCATGTGTCACGGTGTTACCTATTGGTCCAGCTGTTAGAATTTTTGGTCTTCTTTGCCTAAGTTGTAATCCATCCTGAAGGTTTCAATTCTTGACCTTCATCAGCAACTGTTTTTAGTCCTACTCACTTTCAGCAAGCAAGGTTGTATCATCTGCACATCGAAGAGTATTAATATGTCTTCCTCCAATCCTGATGCCACAATCTTTTTCATATAAGCCAGCTTCTCTGATTCTTTGCTCTGCATAGAAATTGAATTAGAATGGTGAAGGGATACAACCTGACACACCTTTCCTGATTTTAGACCATGCAGTATTCCTTTAGTCACACAGTCACCTTTTGATCCATGTACAAGTTCTGGGGGAACGCATTGCAGTGTTCAGGAATTCTCATTCTTCTCATTTGTTATTCAAAGTTTTGAATGTGTTTGCATATTTAATCAAATGCAAACAAACCTCTTCCTGTTATTCTGTGCTTTCAACCATTATCTATCTGATGAGCAATGATATCCTCTGTTCCACATTCACTTCTGAATCCATCCTGAACTTCTGCCAGTTCCCGGTCAATGTATTGCTGCACCCACTGTTGGATAATCTTCAGCAAAATCTTACTTGCACATGATACTAATCATATTGTTCTATACTTTGAACATTTTGCTGGTTCATCTTTCTTTGAAGTGGGTACAGATAGGGATCTTTTCCAATCAGTTGGCTAAGTAGCTGTCTTTCAAATTCCCTGGCAGACACAAGTGTTTCCAGTGCTTCACTCAGTTGTTGAAACATTTCAATTGGCATCCCATCAGTTTCTGGAGCCTGGTTTTTGGCTAATCCTTTCAATGCATCTTGAACACTTATTGAAATTGTGGGATCTCTATGATTTCTTTTTGGTAGTTGAGTTAGTTAATTGTGCCAGCCTGGCCGATAATCACATGTGATGCTGGTTGAAAGGCGGAGGGATAAATGGGTGGTGAAGCCTCGCCTTTCTAGTTCTCGGGTCTCTTGTTTTGTGATGGTTGTATTGGGTGCAGCTGCCTTAGCAGTTCCCTGCTTCAGCTTGCAAGATTGACTTCCACCAAGACATCCCCGAGGAGAAGCCGCATGGATCTATCCCGATGCAGCCCTGGGTGCTGGAGCAGCCGTGTGGAGACCCCTGCCAGTGCTGAGATGCTTACACGTTCACGGACTCAGCTTTCCTCCTGCAGTCGGCATCATTGCCTCTGTTTTGTGAGGTGGAGGACTTTGTGGACTGGTGTTGGGTTAATGGGTTAATGTTGGACTTGTGGGCTTGGGCAGCATTGGGTTGGGATGTTTTCGTGATGCACCTTTTCTTTACATAAAACTCTCTCTTATACGTGAGTCGCCGTAGATTTGTTTCTCCTAAGTACCTAGACTGATACAGTAGTGTATTTTGTCCTTCAGCTGATGATTCCTGAATCATTCAATATTTTGCCCACACAATCTTTCAATATTGCAACTTGAAGCCTGGTTTTTTCCTTGAGTTCTTTCAGTTTAAGATCTGCTGGATGTGTTTTTCCTCTTTGGTTTTCTAACTCTAAGTCTTTGCACACTTTCTTCTAATATTTGACTTTGCCTTCGCAATCTGCCCCTTGCGATTTTCTATTTAGATCTTTGACTTCCTCACATCTTCCATTTGCTTTAGCTACTTTAGGATTAAGAGAAATTTCAGTCTCTTCTCACATCCACTTTAATCTTTTCTTACCTTCTTGTCGTTTCATGACCATTTGCTTTCTTTGTGAATGTTGTTCGTGATGTTCTCTTGCAGTTCAAGTCTTAGGTTATTAGTGTTCACGGCATCAAACCTGTTCTTGAGATGTTCTCAGATGCAGTTGGGATAAACTGGAGATATTATTTTTGTTCTAGTGGACTTATTTTCATTTTCTTTAGCTTCAACCTGAACTTATATATGAGCAGTTGATAGTCAGTTCCACAGTCAGCCTCTGGTCTGGTTTCACATGCTGATATTGAGCTTCTCTAGCATTTCTTCTCATAGACGTAATCAATTCGATTCTTGTATATTCCATATGGAGAAGCCCAGGTGTATAGTTGCTGTTTGTATCGTTGAAAGAAGGTATTTGATATAAACTAGTCATTGGTTTTACTGAATTCTATCATGTGATCTCCAACTTAGTTCATGTCACCAATACCGTAACCCAGCTTGTGCTCGTTCTTGCTTGTTTCCAACTTCTGCATTCCAGTGGCCAAGAATTATCAATGCATCTTGAGTGCATGTGTGGTCAATTTCCAACTGAAGTCATTCATAGAGTTCTTAAATTTCTTTATCACTAGTTTCCATGACTGGTAGATAATTATATTGTTTGGATTTCCTTGAAGGCCCATAGATATAACCCTACCCTGGACAGCATTGTACTTCAAGATAGACATTGAAATGTCCTTTTTGACAATGAATGCAATACCATTGTGTCATTCCTGGCATAGTAAACCACATGATTTTCTGATCCAAAATAGTCAATACCCATCCATTTCAACTCACTAATGCCTAGGATATTGATCTATAGGTCTCCACTTCATTTTTGACAACTTCCAATTCCTGGATCAATACGTCATTTAATCAAGTTCTGGTTATTAGATTTTTGTAGCTGTTTCTTCTCATGTTGAGTTGTGCCCCATCAGCAAATGAAGCTTCTGAAGTGAGACCCAGGAACACAGAGCACACTTGTCGCTTGTTATCAATTCTTTATCTTGGTGCCTTTAAAGTAGCCCAGCTCTAGAGACACCAACATTCCATTCAGCTTGGCATGGAATCAGTTGGTCACCATATGTTTTTGAGAATCAGGTAAGTATATTAAGTCTGATTCATACTTACCACGTATAATCACTCCCCTCTACTTGTTACAATAGAGGCAAAAAGAGAAACTATTTGTGTACTAGACTATTTGGAACAGAGTATAATAAATGGAAATGAAACAAAGTAAGGGGGAAAAAATCACTGTGACCTAGAGAAATCATGAAAATCTCATTAAGAAGCACTTATTTAACTGTTTTTTGAAAAATAGGAAGGAAATGAGTGGAAAGGTAGATATCTGTGTGACGAAATAACATGGGTCACTTGGCAAAAATATTAGCTCTGCAAGTCAATATTTAATTGATCTTTTAGTAAAGCTTGTATATTTATTATAAATGAAGTTATTCCACTTTCTATTTCCTCACAGGTGGATCCGATATTGAATATCTGGACTTCTATAAGCCCGTTGTGTGGTTTTGGATCCTTGTAGGACTTGCCTACTTCGCTGCTGTACTGAGCATGATTGGTGACTGGCTTCGAGTTATATCCAAGAAAACAAAGGAAGAGGTGAGAATTAAGAAATGTTTACAAACACTTCATTCAGTTAATTCAGTAAAGGCTAATATTAATCATTCATATTCACCTTTGGTTGTGAATTTTCTGTATGAAGCTGTGAAAATATATTTCACAGAAGTTAAAAATTCATTCAGGTAACAAATACTTGCTATACACTGTTTATGTGCCAGGTCCTTTGATAATTCTGAAGGTTATTTATAATTAAAACAATTAAATTAAAGTATATTCTTCAGGTATTCATTCTCATTTTCTTCTTTTGTTTGTCAGCAAGAACATAAATTTTATCCCATAAAGCAAAATATAATAAAGTATTTATATCAAGGTATCAGTAACACTGTATAAGGCATGTTTTACCTGGCCTAACATTGATTTTTTTATTTGCTATATTAAATATTTTCTATCTATTTATCTTCCTGTACATATATGTATGGATGTGCATACATGCATAAACACAAATATCTGCTCCATTTATGCATAATGGCTAATATCCCGGTGTACAGCTTTTAGTTGTTCCTTAACATACTTATCTTTTGGTCTAATTTGCACCACAATGCATATTTTGATCCTTTTAGCTTGAAAAATTTTTTTTATTTGTTGATTTCACAGTTTTAAAATTAAAATTGTATTTCATAGTTGCAGATTTGGAATGAGAATGATTAAGTTCAATATGATAGAATAATGTTTTGTTATAAATTTAAAGTTTTATCCTCAATTTTAGTATACATTACTAATTATCTCATAGAAGATCACCTCTGTAAAACCTGCAACCATATTGTCCCATTGTCTTGCCTTTAAAAAAATACTCTCTTCATTTCATTTTCTTGTGTTTATTGGCCAAGGTACACTGGTATCAAAATCTTTATTGATATAATTGGCATATACTCACACAAAATAAGATAGGAAATGGTAAAATTAAAAATATACAAACAAATGTTGTTTGTAATTATATAGTTGTTTGTAGTATGTGTGTGTGTGTGTGTGTGTGTGTGTATACACACATGTACATTATTATTAACCAGTTCCTATAGTAAATAGTAACTAGGAAGAATGGAAGTAATCCAGCACTACCCCTCATGTATATTTCTCACCCAGGAATTCAAGTATTTAATTTATATATATTAGTCTTAGTTGCACAGCAAAGCAAATAGTTTTTTAAACTATAAACAAATTGACAAGGCAGCATGTTTGACATTCTAATTTAAATTTTATCAAACATTGTTTTGAACAGGACTTCAATTGATGCACCTTGATTTTGTATATGTCTATGAATTTGGGTTATTCTAATTTTAAGAATTTTGACATTAGCTTCCTAAGGCTTTCATAACACATTTCCACAAACATGATGGTTTAAAATGATAGGAATGTATGTTCTCCCAGCTCTAGAAGCCAGAAGTCTGAAGCCAGGCTGTCGGCAGGGCTGCACTCCCTCTAGGGGTCTAGGGGAGAATCCCTCCTCCTCTTCCAATTTCTGGTAGCTCCAGGTATTCTTAGGCTTGTAACTCCAGTATTTGTTTCCATCTTTATATCATTTCTCTTCTTATCCCTGTGTCTCCTTTCTCGGTATTTTTCCTAAGAACACTTGCCCTTCGTAGGACTCCCTTGAATCATCTAGGATGATCCCAGCTAGAGTCTTACCTCCATCACAAAGACTCCTCTCCCCCACACCCCCACACCCCCGCACCACCACCTATAGAGAGTATATCCACAGGTTCCAGGGCCCAGAACATGGAGGGATCTTGGTGGGTGTGTGGCACTATTATTTAACCCGCTATATACGTTAACGAGTTCTGCGGTATAGTAGACACTGAGCTGGTAACCACTATGTCAAAGGTTTGAACCTTTTAGCTGCACTTTGAGAGGAAGATGAGGCTGTCTACTTCGGTAAAGATTTAAAGTCTTGACAACTCAAAGGGACAGACAAAATCACCTTTATGATGGTGAGGTTGGTTTATGTAGACTGAGAGAAGAAAGGAAAATGTAGTTAGGAATCATACAAAATGTTATGTTTCCTACCTACATTTTCCTTTAGGAAACATAAAATAGATAAAAATCGAAGGTAAACAAGCGGCCCTCTGACTCAGAAGCAACAAAGCCCACAAGGAAGAAGCACACCAGCCTGTGTGATCACGAGGTGTTGAAGGGATCAGGTATCAGGCATCAAAGAACAAAAGATCATATCATAGTGAATGAGAGGGAGTGTGGAGTGGAGACCCAAAGCCCATTTGTAGGCCACTGGACATCACCTTACAGAAGGGTCTCAGAGGAGACAAGCCAGTCAGGGTGCGATGTAACAACTATGAAAAATACAACTTTCCTCTAGTTCCTAAATGCTTCCTCCCTCCCCCCACTATCATGATCCAAATTTTACCTTACAAATATGGTTAGACCAGAGGATGTACACTGGTACAGATAGGAACTGGAAACAAGGAATCCAGGGCAGATGATCCCTTCAGGACCAGTGGTGTGAGTGGCGATATTGGGAGCGTAGAGGGAGAGTGGGTTGGAAAGGGGGAACTGATTTACAAGGATCTACATGTGACCTCCTCCCTGGGGGACGGACAACAGAAAAGTGGGTGAAGGGAGACGTCGGGCTGGGTAAGATATGACAAAATAATAATTTATAAATTATGAAGGACTCATGAGGGAGGAGGCAGCGGGGAGGGAGGGGGAAAATGAGGACCTCATGCTAGGGGCTTAAGTGGAGACCAAATGTTTTGAGAATGATGAGGGCAATGAATGTACAAATGTGCCTTACACAATTGATGTATGTATGGATTGTGTTAAGAGTTGTATGAGCCCCTAATAAAACGATTAAAAAAATAAAATAAAATAGATAAAAGTCAATGCTCAAGTATTAACCAACTTTCACATGGATATTTAAAAATACAAGTATTTATTTCTTAAATAAAATAAAGTGAATTGAAATATATGTCATATATTTAAGAAAAGTGTTGTTTTGTAAAACTTTGTATGAGACATACCAAACTAGAGCCAAAGCTCTCACTGTCACGTTCATTCCATCCCATAGAGATCATACAGGACAAAGAGCTACCTCCGGGGCTCTCATTTAGTGAGCAACAGGAAGCTGGGCCACTGTACCCCTGGGCTCCTTCTCATATGCGTCTGGACACATACTTTCAGAATATAAGATGCATGTTTATTTTCATGTGGATCAAGAAGGTCCAGATAGAGCACTGGAACATTTTATCTCTTTATAGATTTGGTATAAAAAATTAAAATGTGAATCCTTACTCTATTACAAGGGCTTTGTGTAATAGGACTAGTTAATCACAAAGCATTGGCTCACTTCTTTACCCGAGTAGGGGGTCAGTAACCCTTAGATCAAATAAATTTAGATGTCCATATTAATATTCATTTAATATTAAAATCAATCTCATGTGCCTGCTCATGAATGACCTTCAGGTCTCCAAACAGAAAGTATGAGATGTTTACATGATAATTAGGCATGAAACCTTGGACACTGTTTGTTTTTATTCATCACATATCCTTTTGGGCTTATAGCTAGCATTTTTTGAAAAGATTATTTTATTGGGAGCTCTTACCACTCTTATCACAATCTATACATCTATCCATTGTGTCAAGCACATTTGTACATTTGTTGCCATCATCATTCTCAAAATATTTGTTTTCTACTTGAGCACCTGGTATCAGCTCCTCATTTTTCCCCTCCCTCCCTGCTCCCTGCTCCCTCATGAACCCTTGATAATTTATAAATTATTATTATTTTGTCATATCTTACACTCTCCAGCATCTCTCTTCACCCACTTTTCTGTTGTCCATCCCCCAGGGAGGAGGTTATATGTAGATCCTTGTAATCGGTTCCCCTTTTCCGCCCACCCTCCCAAGAAAGAGAACAAGAAAGAAAGGCAACAAGAAAGACAGGTAAAAAGAAAGACGGGAAGTCACACAGGAAAATTCCTTGTCGGCTTCTCCCCTTACCCTTCCCCCATGAGTTTTAGGTTAACCCTTACTATTTATAAATTGTTACTTCTTTTTGCTTCAATTATTTTACAGAATGTCATCTGGTAATGGAAATTCAGAGTAATTTTTTTCTATTCATTTGAACATAATAGGAAAATAGCTTAAGTTAATAGTTTTTGCCTCATAGCACTTTACAAGTAATTTCATTTTCTTTAGCGAGAGAGCACATTATGGGGATTTACTGCATCAAGATGTAACAGGCCTTATCTCTATGGACTATTCTGAGCCTGTTATCCTTCTGAGAATTTGTGTTAAGAAAAATGGCCACCATGAACTTTACTTTGTAATTGTTTTTAGACTGTCTTCATCAAAGCAAATTATTATTCTTGCCTGTATTCAGAGCTAAAATTGATCACATTTTAAACATAACACCCCACTTAAAACATAATCAAATTAATGTGTATTCTAAGATGGATCAAACAAATGAATTTGTCTTTATATCCTTTTTCTAGATGGGCTTTTTAATGGTCAGTTTAGAACTAGAATAGAGGGAATATTATTTTGTCATCTTCTGAAATTTAAAAAATGATGATTTTTTTATAGTGATGAGTAGATAGAACCCTAATTGTAAGAAGGAAATTTATCTCCACTGACTCCAAACTTGCTTTCAATCAAAAGTATGGGTTCTGATTAATGTTGTGTATGTACTTATGTGTACTTGCTCGGTTCAGAACAAGGAAGAACCCCTGTTCTTCCTCCAGACAAGCTGGTGTACATAATTGCAATTCGTGGATTATTTTCCATTCTCTCTCCTAGACAGAAACTAAAATTCATCTTCCTCTGTCCCTTGTGGTTGGTGAACCAAGTGGGTAACTCTGCCTCAAGGGAGTGACCTGAGGAAGAACTGACGTGAGCACGAGTAGATGATGTGACTGAATGTATGAGCCTCTCCGGAGTGGACTTGCCTCTGGCCCGGCGGCTGTAGATCGTGCGGCCATAGATATGGGTGCTGCGTCCACTGGGGAATCTGAGTAACTACCAGGACCAAA